TTGTTGTTTTTTTTTCATACGTTTTATCAAGCGAATGAAAATACATTCGGCGGGCCTTTTAAATAAGACTCGTGGGCCGGACCTGGCCAACTGGCCGTAGTTTGGTGACTTCCAGTGTTAGGCTAAGATAAAATCTTAAAATAGTATGTAACGGTGTGATAACACAAAAAATATAGCTATGATAACCCTGCATATATATCGGTACTCGTCTTAAATGTACATTTGGAATTTGAGAATTTTACAAAATGTAAAAAAAGTGTCGTTTCATATCTTTATTTATATTATTACACTAAGTATATATAAAAATTTCCAACGTAAACTGCCAGTCGCTATTATTTGAGGTTTTCAAACAATTATAATGGGTAAAAAAAAAAATCATATTTGTTTGCGCAATAATATTCATACAGCTGCAAACATAACAATTCCCTGGAAACTTTATAGTATCGGAAATGTTTTACCAAGTAATCCTTGCATCATTCACTGAATTCCCGATTGTTACGTAATTTTATGTATTTACACATATTGTGCGTCTGCAGTGGCATGGTGGCGTGGCATAGAGACTTGTTTTTTCAGGAAAAGGGCGTTCCTTTTAATTTTAATAACGCTGATGTCAGGATTCAAAGAAACCAGACCAGGAAGTAATAAAACGTAATGGATCTAGCGATAACCGAAGCCACATATATGAATCACGAACCTGTTTTATAACTCTTTTTAAAAAAAAATAAAAATGATATGATACGAAAATACGAACATATGTCGTTTTCAATAGACTTTTTTTTTTTAAAATCTTAAACATTATTTGAATGATTTGATCTGAAGATTCTCTTGTATTGGGATTTACATATTATTATTACTACCATCCAGCAAACCCGACATTGACAGGAATTGCAATCGTTCTCTGAAGGGATCCCAATCTCTGAGAGATTATAATCGAAATCCATATCCCGATGGGATCCCGTTTTACTATGGTATCCCGATACCGGTTGCATTCCGATTCTGGAGGGAAAGCAATCTCAGTGGAATCCAAATAACGAAGGGATTCTGAACCCAGTTTTATGCCGAGTGTGTTGAGTTTTTAATAGTGTAGTAAAAGGCAAAAAAAAAAAAAAAACCACATATTTATTGGCTAAAGAATATTAGCTTTAAACAAAATAATACCATTTTAATTCGAAAATTTGCTTAGACAAAAACAATATTTAATAAAACGACTTGATTTCTAACCAATGTTATTTTCTTATATAGTGCAAAAAGATCAAATTGTATTTAGAAAATTCATAAAAAACGCTCTAACTCCTATATATACATGTCTCTCAATGTTATCTATTTGAAATCTAGTCTGCAATTTTGAGCAGCAATATTTCACTAGTATGTCTTGTATTCACAGTTTCTTTGCGTAGACATTGGTAAAAAGCATTAAAAATCAGAGAATTGTATACAAACAGAACAACAGCTTTCAGCTGAATTGTAAATTTATTTTGCTTTACAATATATATATATTCTTTATTAAAAATAAATATGGTAATTGAAAACATACATGTCGTAAGTATAGAGGAATCGTAGCGATGTGCATAATACAAATAATAGTTGAATTATATAACACTTTCGTTAAAGGGGAAAACTTCAAACTAGAGACCAACTTAATTTCGGCTTCGGTTTCGGTGCAATAAATTGCCATTGATCACTTTCGGCCAAGTTTTGGTTTCGGCCGAAACTGAAAAGTTAACTTTCGGCATAATTTCGGTTTCAGCCGAAAGAGAAAAGTTAATTTTGGTCATATAATACTCAGCGAAAGCGATATTTAACAACAAACTAAGAGGCATTTAAGAAATAACCAAACGATCTTTAAGAAAAAATTAATGATTTTTAAGAACAAACTAAACGATCATTAACAACAAAGAAAGCGATCTTTAAGAACAATATAAACGAATTTTAATAGCAAAACTAAAAGATCTATAAAACAAACTAAATGATCTTTAAGAACAAACTGAATGATCTTTAAGAACAACTAAACTATATTTATAGACAAACTAAATGATCTTTTAATAACATAAACTGAACCATCTATAAGAAAAAAATTAGCGATATTTTTTGAACACACTAAATGATGTTTAATACCAAACTAAAAAATATTTAAACAAAAATTAAGCGATCTTTAAAAACAAACAAAGCTACCCTAAAAATAAAAAAAAATAATTAACGATTTTTAACAACATAATATGCGTTCTTTATGAACAAACTAACAAATAAACCGATCATTAGCAAAAAACTGAACGATCTTTAACAACAAACCAGGCGATCTTTATGAAAAAACTAACCGATCTTTAAGGACAATGGAAGCGATCATTAACAAAAAACTGAAAGGTCTTTAATCACAATCTAAGTTATCTTTAAGTACTAACTAAACGTTCTTTAACAACAAACTAAGTGAGCTTTAATAAGAACAAACTAAGCGATCTTGGTGGATTTTACATTAAGAAATGGCGTCAGCGGGCCTTCGAGCTTGCGCTCTTTATGGCCTCCACAAAAAAAAACCCCTCCACAACCAGGTATCGGGCCGCGGAGCGGCACATCGGAGATGTCCCTTGGTCAGGACAGCCCCCGCCCGAGTCTGCTCAACCATGGTCTCCTCCGGGGGCCGTCCTTATCAAAAGACACCCGGTCGGTCTGACACTGTGTTTGCACACGGTGCACACGATCCACTTTCTCAGGAGTCAGGATGGAAAAATGTACGTCCTAATATCTTCCCCCACCAATCCCGGGGAAGCGTTAGACGCCTTATAAAAGGGAGTCTACAGTGGGTTTCCACAACGCAACTTATTCGCAGTGTAGCTGGGACGACCGGTTGCCTTGGAGTAGCTTCTCAGTGCTGCCTAGTAAGAATCATCAGCCAGAAATTACCACCTTCACCTCTCGTCTCATATACATCAACTGCAACTTGTAATCATGATCCCTACTCTGTCTCTGCCTATTCTTCCAGTTGAGAAGTATCACAACTGGCAGCTCTAAAGGTGCTGTTTTATGTACGGCAGGTACGGAGCACATCCCTTTTCTGCCCACGCAGGACGCGCCCAGTAGTTGTGTTCCCCGAATAACGCCGAGGGCGTCTGTGGCCGACGTCCCCTAATCGACAAGTCACCACAGACTTGTAAACCGGTAAACCGGGTAAATCTTTATAAATAAACTCATCGATCTTTAAGAGCAAACTAACCGCGAAAGACGATATTTTTCGGCCCGCTACATCACATACCAATTTAGTCCTATGATATATCGTCTTGCGGGTGACAAATGGCTCGCGGGCTGCGTTTAAGACCCCTATATTAGATGTTTATTTATTAATATTCACTATTATCACATTATTTATAAAACGAAGGTAAATATTTATACTTTCCACCATGATTTTCAATGTATGCGGGAAGGAATTTCAAAATATCTAAATATTTCATTTTTGGCTTCGGTGTCGGCCGAAAGTCATTTTTAACTTTCAGCCCTTTTTCAGTTTCAGCCAAAAGTTATTTTTAAAGTTTCGCCCTTTTTCGGTTTTGGCCAAAAGTCATTTTAAACTTTCGGCCTATTTTCGGCTTTGGCCGAAATCAGAAAATCACTTTTGTCGGTCTCTATTTCAAACTTGTCACAAATTGATGCTAACACAGTGAATAACTGTAAAGCATCAAAAGACAGTCCGGAAAATTGCGTAATAGTAAAAAAACAAAAACAAAAAAAAAAAAACATAGTTAACAGATAATTCAGCCTAAAACAATTCTTGAAAAATAATACCTTGCAACAGAGCTTCAGATACTACCCGGAAAATCTACGAGAGCTGTATTAACAATTATTTTTTGCCAGCTATTGTGTTTCTGTAACACATGTTATTGTTGCCGATATTGAAATAACATGGTTAACCATTTCTGCAGTGAATGGCTTGCCACTATCACTTGAATAATTATTTCTTTCACTCCTCAAAGTTATCTGTTCTCTCGCTCACAATGAAGTGGCAACGTGCAATGAATTCATGCAGTACTTGATTATATTTAAGAAAGCGATCAAAAATAAGTCTTTGATAGTAGGATATCCTGCAATAATTCTAGGATGCAATCAATACACACTCATTCAAAATTCCATATCAAAATTAAATCACAATAATTCAATAATCTATATTTTTATGAATCTATCATTCATAGATCATTTGTATCAAGCATATACAAAAATATGAACATTTATCGAATCTAATATTTAGCAGGGATTGATTTTTTTTTTTTTAAAGTGGCACTTTTATAAACAAAGGAAAAATTGAGACATTGTCAATTTTTGAATGAGTATATCTGTGCGTGTAGATGTGTGTACGTGTGTGTGAATTTTTGAGAGTATGTGTGCGTATGTTTATATGTGTATGTGTATTTTTGGGGAGAGGGTTTGTGTGTATATGTGTGCATGAGCGTGTTTTAAGACAGAATCAAAACATCAATGATATAATGCTCTTCTTTCTATATTTCCAGTTTCAGAAAACATATAACAACAACATGTCATCAAAAGATTGTTTAGAAGGTGATGCCTTAAATTACTTGATTTATCAGCCGCTTGTCTATGGACACATAATTTAACAACAAATATAAATCTACGCTGAATAAACATTGTGATTTTTTGTTTTACGTCATGCACCTGTACACTTGCCCTTCCCAAACATCTATGGTCGTTAAAAATAGTAATAGGGAAAACCCACTGACGTTGCCCAAAAAAAGGGTGTTATGAAATTCGTTACCCTTACATAAATATAAATGCGTACATCGCCAAAATTCAGTCACTTGCTAACCACATGCTTCTAGCTGGTACATGCACGCCTTAAAGTTGATCAAACTAATTTTTTTTATAAATTTTCAAGTTTAATTTTTTTTTTAAAGCTATTTTTATAGCACTCTATGAATTTAGTAAATGTAAGATAATACTCTTAAATATTCCTACTCATTTTCAAATGGAAAATTTGTTCATTGTGTGTCTGTGTATATTTTGTATTCAGTTTTGTGAGACTAAAACCAATGGTAAGTTACAGTTTGTAATACTCTTTGCATGCACTCCACCTGAAAAAAAAATATCAAATGCTTTTGCTTTAAAATACTTGATAGAGTGAAATATAGTCTTTCTTCCTTTGCTTTTTTTTTCAAAATGTTTGTAAACAAATTATTTAATTTTTAGAATGGAATATTTTAAAACTGTTTGAAATTACATTTAATTGAGATTTTATTTTATCGTAAATCTATTCGATTTTTATTTCCACTTAACATATTTTGACCAACGTCAGTAATGTAAGTAAGAAGTATAACTTTAAAAAATCGATATATATTATATTTCTAGAACATACTTCACGTTATAATATAGTGTTACTGTAGAAGCAAGATGGAGACTGCAAGATAAAGAGAAAAATAGAGATTGCGATGACGATAAGTTTCGAATGCCAGACTAAAAGACTGACATTCTGTACTTATCTTAGATTTGATTATTCTATATATTGCTTTTGTGTGCAAATGGCCAGCATTGTACAGATAGCAGTCCCTTGCTGTCCTTTAAATTAAAAGCCTTAGTTTTATTCAAGTTTAAAAGTAATCTAATAAATTATTATTTGTAAATAGCAATGGTTTGGATATCATCCTTTATTACGGTATTAAATAATGGTATTGTTCTTTTCAATAAACCATATAGTCATATAGGAGATTACATTCTCAAAACTTATAACGGTAAGTAAAAATAGTTTATCCTTAAAACTTGTTTAACGTATTGCTTTTCTTAAATATACTGTTGCACGTATTTACAAATATTATGTTTAATTAATTCAAAATATATTTAGTTCGTTTTATGATCTTATAGAGGGATGGTTAACATTTAACACGAGGCCCGCGGGCCGCATGCTGCCCGACGGAAGACACATTAAGAACCGCAGAGCTAAGTCAAATGAACATAAATATTAACTTTAGTGTACATATCACCAAAAGAACAGTACATCAGGAGTCGTTCATATAATATTCTTTAATTACGCCTAAGAGAAATTTTAAATATGTTGCATTTTTTAAAACCATTTGTTGGTTTTGAGCTTTTTTTAAATATCATGCTAATTGCTACTCAACGTTACTTAGTTTTTTTTTTGTCTGACGCTAGGTGATGATAAAATGTAATCTGATACTTCAACTTCTAATATTATATATGTGCTTTGGTCTTCTACATCTTTGGGAAGCTCGCAACGCTATTGGGCTAATTTTCATAATTACTTTCTGTCCAGCTTGTTTCTTGTTGGTCTGTAGATTTGTTCTATTATCGCCACTACAGCTTGAGAAATGTTGCGGTCGACGTTAAAATACATATTTATCGTATTTATATTTAGAGTTCAAACTACTGTATTCAAGTATCCTGTCTACCATATTAATTCTATCAGTATGTAAACCCTTAAACGTTTTATTTAAGTACGTTAACACTTTCGCTGCTGTGTGACGTACTGTACGCTCATATGCGGTACTTATCATTAATGCTGTTGCTGTGGTTAGAAGAGAAGAATCACAAAAGACTTAAGAAGTTTTCAAGACAAGGTGATTATAAACTAATTGTTCATGGAAATTTAAAAATAAAAGCCCAAACGATTGATATGCAACGAATCTGTTTCTGTTTCGAAAGAGTATAACATCAAACGGCACTACAAGGTACTGCAAATAGTTTGTTAAGTGCAGAGGGAAATTTCGTCAACACCCAATACAATGCTTTAAAAAAAAAAGCCTGCAAGCAAAAAAATATTTTATAGAGCAAGTTCAGAAACAAGATGATATGTAAAAAGCTACTTATGCAAAAGCCATCAAACTAGCAATTAAATTGAAGCCATATTCAACGGTTCAATGGTTAAGGAATGTATGGAGAACGTCGTTGAAATTATTTGCCCTTAAAAGAAGAAGAATTTCTTTTTAAAAAATAAGTAAGTCTCGTCATTGTAGACGACATTGGCAAACCCATTAAAGGTACTTGAAGATTGAAAAGTCAAGCATCCAAGTTGATAATTTTTTTCTCTAGCAATGGATGAATGCATATATATAACAGATACTGCCCAAAATGATTTTTTTTAAATTGTTTGTGTGTCTATTTTAAAAGACATATGAATTAGCGGCACTGTATCCATTTAAGGACCCAACTAAGTCAGGAAATGTGTTAGAGTATTCAGCTACATCGACAAAAAAATTGCTTTTCGTTACAACTTAACAACTTATTAGAATTAAAAAATAAATGTTGCTCCAGCAATTGTTGGGGAAAACGAATGTTCAGTAAAATTGATGAAAAGTGAGGCCTCCAAAGTCGGTAAAACGTCATTGCTTAATTATGATTTCATTATTCATCAGTAGTTTTTATGTTCTAAGTCCCTCGAAATGGAGCATTTCTTAAAAGTGGACTTCAAAATATTACTTTGCATTAAGTCAAACGAGTTAAACCAACGTCAGTTGAAGAATTCTAAAGTATTTTTGGATTATAACGACGTTGCATTTAATGCAGAAGTAAGATGGCTGACTCGTGCCAAATTTTGGAAATAAGTGATTGATTTGCAGCAAGAATTAATCAATAAGATGTATAGTCATATTACTGCATTTCAATTTAAACATAGTATTTAAGATTAACAGTTAAAGAAACAAAACTTTACTCACCATCCAACAGTGTTTTTTGTATCCAGATGTATGTGTATCCAGATGCCACACTGGGGCGGCGGATAAATACGCTTCGTTGATATTTTACTTAAACCTGGAATTTAAAAACGGATTTCAAGATTTAACAAAAAATCACGCTCGAAGTGCTTTTTTTGTGCACATTCATTCACGGTAGACGTGAATTTATTATAGGAAAATATACAAATGAAAAATTGTGAAAATTTGCTGTGAGGCACAATTAAAGGAGATACCCCATCAAGTTTGTTCGAAGACTACTATAAAATATAGTGGGGCAATTATAAATATCTTGATTTTTTTTCAAACGCTCTCTGTCGATGGTTTCGCATTTTGCAAACACGTATGTATCTGAACAGCTGTTCAGTCGTATGAAGCACATCAAATCATAGGTGGGAACACGAACAAACAGATGTTCATTTGAAAAATTGTTTGCGTTTTGCGACAACATCAGTCGAGATCCATTTTGATGCGCCTAGTTCTGCAAAATACTGTCAGATGTCTTACATTTAAATATGTGTACATTGTATTATAAATATGAATGATTCTCAGCAGTTACGTTTTATTTCCATCACACAAAATTGTACCTATTTCTTCGTTGCTGATTTTAACTATAAACCATGAGGCAAGCGTTTCACCACGATCTCACTGCGAAGAACGGTGCGGTCAAAGCTGTAGCACGCTTGCTTGTTTTCTTTATTTAAAAACAAAAAATTACAAGGTAGCCCGGCAATATTTTTTTCCTGAAATATAACCCAACTGCTGAAAAGCTTGGTCACCCCTGCTCTAATCCGTAAACACGATATTCTTATAAATCAATCTGAAAATCACTATAGAATAAGCTCATACGTTTATTACGTTTTGCAATTTTATTACATTTTTTTTCCTTTGTTCCCTGTTCAATTTTGAGCGGAGTCGCAGCCTCTAAGTCGATGCTTAATATGTATTTTGTGTCGGTCTTCAGGTTCACCAATACCCAGATTACAATATTTATTTTTGTCTAAATCTTGTCAAATACCTCCTGATATTATTATTTATATGAGCATTTTAAATAAAGTATATTATTTATGTTTATGTCATGATTATAGTATGCTCTAGAACTGCTAATGGTGGTGCACGGACCGGCTCCGGAAGATGAATCTTACTTTTCCCGTCCTTGGATATGAATATTAATGGTTAAAAAAATGAAAATAAATCTTGCGCCTGTCAATGGTACGGTTTGGCTAATTTCCTACCGTTTGGCAAGACTTAAATACGCTGCTTAAAAATGTAACAATATCTTAAATGAATTCTCTCTTTCTTAGGAATTCCCATTGAAGAATCAGACAGTATAACCCTCACCTGTCCCAACTTAGAGCGGCCGCAAAGTACAAATGTAACCTACGAAAATGGTGAACAAGAGACTATCGCTGTGTTCACTGACACCAATTGCACAGTTTACACAGAAGGTTCTCATTGCTACACTAACGGTGGAAACGTCAGTTTTGTTACTATACCAGTTAGCAACAAGACACGATCTATAATCTCTTTCTCATGTGATTACAGTAAGGATATACCAGTACAGTTCTATGGTAATTTTAATCCTTATAATTTTGAACGTAAAATATGCACTTCTCAAAATTTGATTAATAAAATAAAAAAAAAAAAAATAAAGCATTTTTGATTTTAATACAATTATTTTTATTAAAAATATTTAGTGAATGAGCTTACTATTGTATAAATCTTAAGCACATAGACCATTCAAAAATAGGAACAATTATTGTTGAATAAATTAATTGAAACGAATTTTTAAAAATACGAAAATAACTTACAATAAAATATCATATAATTAATATATTAGATATAAATAGACTGGACGTCCTAATATTAATATAGTTTGGTTGTGTGGAAGAAAAAGTGTGCGGTTCGCACAGTTGGGGGGGGGATATATCCTAACTGGGATTCTCATAAAGTGTGTTACTTGAATGCATGTTTTGACAAGCGGCTTAACTAGATTGAAAGTTCGCGCTCTGCCTTCGCCATTGATCGGCGAGTAATTTCAAGACATATAAAAAAAATGCATATCATAAGAATAGGTACATAAAATATTTTTTTTTTATACTCCCTTGCAGCAAGACCGAGTGATCTATTCTGCTACGATCCCATTCTGGACGCCACGAAAACCAAGATCAAGATAAAATGTGAAACCACAAAAATATATCCCCATGCAGTGTGCGTTTTCTTAAATGCGTTGGTAGGTTATGTTTGTTAAAAAAAATGTTAGCTATAACATAAAACATGTGAAAATACATAGCAACTCCTCACAATCCAAGAGTCAATGGTATGAGAATCACTGTTGTTAACATGAACGCTGTTGGGGTGTGTGAGTTGAGCAATGAGATTTATTTATGTTTTTATTATTGTGTCTAATTTAAATTATAAAAGGAAACCATAAGAATACAAATAAACACGTGTGTAGATATAAGGAAAGATAGAGAGACAGTCGCAGAGAGGGAGTTGATTTATAAGGTAGTCATTAGACATTAAAGGATGATTAGCAACTGTGTTTTGGATACGTTGGTGGTTGTAAGCACAAATTGTAGCCAGGTGCATTTGCGTTACAGACACACATAATAAAGAAGAACTCTAGTCATAAATAAAATGTTTGTGTCCCCAAATTCATTGTTCATGGGTATTCACTGATAGAAATTGTTGCAGGGTGCCATCGTAAAACGCTGCCAGAAAATGCTAGACTAGATGAATAGAGTAGTTTAACAACGAGTATATAGATAAACAAAACACATTTTTAACAGTGATGTGATTTGATTTTTTTTTCAGAACCAGTCTATTCAAGGCAATGTTTCCTACAGCCTACACGAGTCCTATGGCAGTCCTGGTTACTACCGGTCTGACTGCAGTCTAGAAGTCACTGCACGGAAGCTGGTTTCAGATCATTAAAACATAAAATGTTTGATGTATCCTAACTTGAGTACTGTTGGTGATCAACTGTATGGCTCCAATGTCGTTGTTACGCTGAATAGCTTGTTTGGTAGGCCGAAGTCTGATCACATGATTTGTGTGTGTTTTTTTCCATCCCCATAAGAATATTTTGATTTCATGAACGCGTATCTTAATAGCCTGGCTACGACCTTGCATCAGGTGATACATTTCAGGTAACCAAAATTAGGAAAATGGCACATTGCGAAAAATGCGCGTTTAGTTGTTTTTTTTTTTAAAATAAGTATTTTGGTTTCAATGCATATTTATTCTAGTGAGTATCCGGCATGCGTTGCAATACCACGTAAAGAAAAACAGTGTATGTGTTTTTATACAGTTTTATGAAGTAATTTGTATATAATTATTTTTCCCCGTCTTGTGCGTACATGAATTATTTAGAAACAATTTTGATGCATAAGCAGGCCACATACAGCTGTCCATGTGAGAAGTGAGCAGCCACATACAGCTGTCCATGAGAGATACATGAATTTTTCAAAAATTAATCGAAACACTTGCACCCACATGCAATAGCTCTGTTTGAAATTATGTAACACACATACAAAACTGTGTGTGTGTTTGCATTTGATTGAATTCCATCCACCCATTCTTTCGCTCCGTTTGAATATATATTTATATAACTGACAGGAAGAAAACGAATTTAGGGCCGTCAGCACTGAACAGAATCTTGTAACATGGTAGTACCCAATTAGAAACTGTGGTGGACGTGCGCACATCAAATTAACCAACGTTCATCGAATGAATGGTATAGGAACGCACAATTTATAGTTAAATAGCTTAAACTAGAAAAAACGAATTTAGGGACACCGGAAATTGTAAAAATTATGTACTTATTTAGTCACAAACTAACTGAGATGTCGCTCTCTGTATTTGATTAAATGTCATGCATTAGCTCTGCTTGCAATTATATATCTATACATTATATATGCATATATATATTAGTTTTATCATGCTGTATCTCTATAAACAGGGTGACTTAATTTCTTTGTTTTTTTACATTCAATTTGACAACGTAGACCTGGTAAAACTAAGACTTGTTTGGGAATACACTAGTGGAAAAATGTCTGAAATCAAAAGTATAGCATTTTAGCCAATTGTTTTTCGTTATGCATGCTTATAACTACAGTTTTTACAACTGCCACAGAGCCTCCGGTTGATGCACCAAAGTTTATCTTGAATGACGGATTGCCAATAATAGATGGTGTAAACTCGTCCCAAGTCAGCCTTTCCTGTGACGCTGAAGGTGGCTTCCCTGCAGTAAGCTCAATCAACATTTCATGTCTTGGGCGGAATATCAAGCACGATGGAAATGCTTTAAAATTATTGCTAGACGTTAAGAAAGAGGATGATGATAAGGTGTGCACATGCTCAGCCTACCATCAGTCAGAACGCTATACAAATAACACCTCTAGTTTGACAGTCGTAGTTTTTTGTAAGTGTAGTAAAATTATATTTATATTTCATTTTTTTTTTTTTAATTTTCAATTTGTCCTTTCAATTTAATTGTATACGACAGATGAGCTTAGTTTTAAATTTAAGGATGTACGTGTTAAGAAAATGTATGATACATTTTAAATATGAGTTGTTGTTTTTTTAAATACATTTAATAACCTGTTAAATAAATTTTTTTTCAAGCATTTCTGCTTAACCATCAGTCATTCGGAATCCCTCTGAAATTTAAACCATTGAAATGCAATAAACCCCAAAATTATTAGTATTTAATTATATTATCAACACGCTAATAGTATTAGATTTATTAAATAAGTATATTATTTTCAATTCATAGCTGAGGTCCAATTTGTAAACTTCAGTGCAAACAAGAATGTCAAACAACTGTTTGTTCTAGAAGGAGATAAAGTTACATTGCAATGTACAGTACAAAGCAATCCAGAACCCGAAGTGGATATTATCACTGGAGATATCTCGACAACATCTCATGAGTTCTCTCCTATAGGAAAACATGTTTGGAAGTCAACTGTAGAAATAACAAATTTGAAGTGTGGCGAATCTAAAAACTTCAAATGTCTTGCCAAAAACAGTTTTTATGGAAAAATAAAAAAAAGTCAAATAGTGGTCACAGTAAGGTGTAAGTAAATATAAATAAGTATATTAAGAGTGGATTGATAGCAGTTACAGCAACTTGGCTATGTTAAATCTGGAGTGTAAACTAAAAACTCTACTATAACTTTTAACTATGTTCTGTAAATAAAAATAATAAAAATAATAAATTACAAAAGAAAAAAAAGTAATAATAGTAAAAGATCCACAAACTATGTCTTTTTCATTTCACAAAGGAGTAAATCAGTTCTAAATATTTACTAATTTTTATTAATTTTATTTTAAATGAAACATCTATTAAATTATTTTGAGTATTTTGTTAAATAAACATTACTTTTTAATACAAAGGTAACTTTTACACTCTTAAAAAGTTATGATCCTTTATTTTGATACATTTTGATGATTTTAGAATGTATGACAAAACTATATAATTTATAACATACACAATTTTTTTTTAAATGTTAGGTCCTTTACAATTCCTAAATTACTCTACTGTTGAGAAAATTAAAGTGGAAGTTAACACTACCGTAGTTATCCAGCACGCCATTGTTGGCTACCCCAGCCCCAATGACTTTCAGCTTTACACCACGGGAGATCACAATATATCTGTGGACAAAAGCACTTACAATGTAGAGTTCAAGAATGAGAGTGTTTCCTACGGTACCTTGACCCTAACACTACCGAACGTTCAGAACGAGAACTGGACACCGTACAACTTAGTTATTAAGAACGGTGTCAAAGATGATCTAACCTTAATTTTCATTTTGTATGGAGGTATGATATTTTAAAACGCATATACTTAATAATATTTACCCTAGTATGATTGTGTTCAATTCAAAATAAACATTTAGTGCTCACATTTAATCTATATTTACACATATTATATGCAAATATATGTACATTGAAGTGTTTGTAAATATACTATACATATATATATTTGGTTCTCACATTTAATATATATTTAATTCATCATTTTTTTTATCAAATCTTAAAGGTGTCTGGACTTTTTTTTTACTATTTATATACGTGTAATTCTAATTCAGAAATAATGAAAAAAAAATGTTCCTTTTCAAGCCCAAAATGAAAACAGTGATGCAATGCTTGCCCAGAGCATTGGAGGAGGTATTGGCGCCTTTTGTGTTGTCGTGCTTAGCGCATTTTGTGAGTATCTATAATACAGCTCTTTACATTTCATTATTAAAATACAATTCAAGAAGTGCAGTATTTTTTAAATAATAACTTTCAATATTGCTAAAAAAAAATACTCGCTCTAAGAAATATTTGAAATCTTCTTATTTGTAAAAAAAAATTTTTTTTAAACATTTAACCATCTTCATCACAGACACCGAAAACCTCGATTAAGACAAATTCTTTCCCGCAAATTTAGATCGAAAGATGTAAACATTAATTTTGACCCACAATCTGTCAGAATTTTTAATGGGGCTCAAACTGCTTACATAAAACTTAAATATTGACTCTGAAACTCAACTTCAAAAATGAAGTGAAGTTTTATGGACGCCTAAACTGAGAAGTGAGAAATTCTTTTGATTTCTTGTTTGCAAATTGTTAAAGTTTAAAAAAAAAAAAACATTTCTTGGTAAAAATGCGTTCTAAAAACGAATAAAACAATGCAATAAACTTAAGTTCAACTTATTTAGAACAATAACACAAATCTTACTTTTAACTGTAAGTCTCAAAAATAAAGTAGATACAATTTTAAATTATGTAAAGACTGCTTATGATGAACTATAAAAACCATTAACATTAGAGTGCAGTTTTTTAAAGAATGCAAATTCAAATACATGGGATATATATTAAATGAAAAGAACGGTTTACTAAAGAAAGAATATCGGCCGGAAAGATGGCTTACTGCAGTAGTCAGAAGATACTCATAGACTAACGACGAATTAATGTATTTATTAATCTGTAATCAGATCAGTTGTGGTATACGAAAATGAAACTTGAACCCTAACAAAATTGGCATGGCATAAAAGCTATTTAACACATGGGAGTAGTAGAGCATCTCACTATTTGAAGGCGGTCCATCGAGGGGCATCACGCGTGTCCAGAAAGGCTACAGGAATTCTTCTATCGTTTGCAGCATGCTGGAAGCACTAGGCTAGACACAATTGAAGGAAAGACGACGACTATCTAGGCTCTCCATGATGTACCACATAAATAATGGGTGGTCCTCTGCTCTTTCATTAAGCAGAAAATCCTCCCTCTCCTCGATAGACAGCGAAGAGGCCATGAAAGGCAACTCATACCAGCAAGAAGCCAGTACAAGAACTGCTCATTCCTGCCAAAGACAATGAGGCACTGGGACAAACTTCAAAAAGGACATTTGAGGCGAAAAAATGTGCATCTAATGGCATATAAACATTTCAAATCCCCTCTGCACGCTTTAGTGCAGAAATGATCAATAAACTCATCGCATGCCCTTAATATATAGAAGAAGAAGAAGGGTCCTACACTGATAGCAGAAATAAGAAAGGTGAGGTTTAACTAGGCCAGACACTTAGAAAGATTCGCAAATAACAGAGGAGTGAAAGGGTTTCAAAACCAAAAGCCAAGAGAAAAAACGGCTCAAAGGCGGACCTAGCCTAAGATGTTTGGATGGTGTGGAGAACAATATATATGAGCTGGTAATCAAATCATGGAACACATAAGCATTGAGAAGGTCTGTGTGGAATGACGGTATGAGTCATTTTAAAGAGTTACATGTAGCGCGATAGAGATGAATTATGATAATTGTTTGGAGATTTATACATCATTCCATTCTTTTCCATTTTGTTTGGCTCCATTGAAATATCCTAATATAATTCAATCAGTTTTTGTGAAATGTAATGTTTTCTTTTCTTATACAAACTCATTTACGTATTTATGTAAATTGATTTGTTTTAGACATTTACAAGAAGTACAAGAACAAAAAGTAAGTAAAATTTGTTTCACAATGTATCAATCATTTTATTGTGACTATATTTTCTTTTAAAAGCACATTGATCGGTCCATCCACCCATCCACACTTCTTGTTCTATTGCATTATCATATTGATTTTTTTTTCTTTTCTTTTTTGCTCTCCTATTTTTTAGGTCAATCGATAAGAAAGGTAGAATATTTCAATTTTTAAATTCTAGAGACGCTTGATTTCAAACACTTATAAACAATTCTCTGCACACAAATCACGCAAATAATTATAATTATTCCATTATTTCTAAATATGATAAATTTCATATATATATATATCTAATTCATAATTTATGTATGATATTTTTCAAAAACTATTATTATTTGTGAATGCATTTCTATCAAGAAACTAGTGAGTACCCAGCATAAATTGCAATGCCCACTCAAGGAGAGAAAGTATTAGTTTTTTTAATTATGTTTTTATAAGTATTTTGTGTATTGAATTTTTTACTTTTGTTGTGCTTACACGAACAAATAAGAATTTTAATAAAGCACGAGCAAGCCCATACAGCTGTCTAAATAAGAAGCATCGATTTTCAAACATTTAATCCACACACTTGCAGCGATTCATCCGCCCATGCAATATTTTGAAATCCCCCCCCCCCCCCCCGTCTTATGTCCTTGCAGTTTGCACAAGTTTTCCATAGTGAATTACGGACTGCCTTACATTTAGAGTTATACAGGCGTGTCTTGAAGAATTTTTTTTTTTTAAAGTATTTGGAAACCACGGCCTTAAACGGAATGTCGTAAAATGATTGAAATAATGCCGAATTTTAAAAAAAAAATAAAAAAACTTATGTCACAGACAAACTGAAATGTCGCTGTTCATATTTGATATAATTAAAGTCCCACAATGCAGTGGCACTATTTGAAATTATGATTATAGAGGCATGACCGAACATAGACTTAATAAGGCCCTAACCCATTTGATATATGGCACCCTTATATATAGTCCAGATATTGTATGTCAGTGCCAAATAAGAGATTCGGATACCTAGAGGGTTTAACTGAAACACAAATAAGAAGTATATAGATAGTATATAGATAGTGTAATAATAAATCTTTCACTTAAGAGTATGTTTATCCATAACAAACTTAAAAATACAAACTCTGGTAAAAAGAAACAAAAGTGCGTTTAAAAGGCAAAATTTGCAAAGGCTTGTTTATGTAATATATGATCATAAATTATAATTAATATAATATAGCTTTCTTTGTAATTTTTTTTCTCTAGATAACCAACCTCCCTCCTATGAAGAGAGTCAAAGTAAACTCAAAGGGAATCAGAACCCAGAGTCAAATGTCTAATACGATGAGAAATTCAGGGCTAAAAGGAAACACCATGCCACGGAAACAATAACATACTTTTAGATTTATCAAATATACAAATGTCCGTGTGTTTGTGTGTGAACTTATTCTATTCGGTTTTCAAGGAGTAAAATGCGATTAAAAAAACAACGGAAAAAAATTGCCCCGTCTTTGCAAGCCTATACAATATGATGAAAATCAAATATAACACCACGTTCAACAAGACTGTGTTGATGAATTTAAACAATTAGAACTTTTATTAATAATGGCTAAAAAAATATAGAATAAAATGCTTGCATATCATCTATTATATTTTATACTTAAAAGTTCAACACAGGTACCTGACAAGCCGCTTGTGGTTTCGTATAACAAAGAATTACAGCTTCTAAAAGTTGAAGTGTACAATCCATATATATATATATATACATATAAATAAAATTTGAATATTTTAAAGTTTACTCCGATACCATCAAATGAAAAGCGTTTAAAAGTAGTGGAGGAAAAAATTAAGACTGTAATGAAATATTAAAATAAATGTTACACATGTTTAATGTTCGTAAAATTCAATTGTAATTCGTTTTTTAAATATACTTTTGATCGCTCTGTCATTGTTTTAATATATTTTTTATGGTGGGGGGGGGCGGGGGGGAGGGTATTCATTCGCATTAATCTTCTATTAATCAAGATATCAATTCGGAAATCAAGAATTTACCGGGATTCAATATTCTCCTGCGAGAGATGCGGCCGTGATTGTCATTCTAGGATTAGCCTAGTGAGCCACTCGTCAAGGTGTAGAACTACATAGCTACTCTATTGTCTCACGAAGACGGAAGGATGCCATATATATATTTATATTACATTTTTTTAAATTTTACTATACATAAACTGTCTGTAAATTTTTTTTTTTTTTTTTAAAAAAAGCTTTAGCATTACACCTTTTTTTTTTTTTTTTTTTTTTTTTTTTTTTTTTTTTTTTTTTTTTTTTTTTTTTTTTTATTTTTTTTTTTTTTTTATTATATTCTTTTTATTTTTTCTTTTTTTTTTTTTTTTTTTTTTTTTTTTTTTTTTTCTTTTTTATTTTGACGTCATCGATTAAATTTCTGTCAGCTTACCTCTAACGACTCCACTTTTGATTGGATTTAAATGTTTTTTCTTACATTCGAATATATTCTATATGGAAGTATAGAAGTGTACATAAATGATAGAGAGTTGCAATCTCAGAATTAAGTTTAGTTGGGGTTAAGATTCAAAATCCCCCTCCCCCAAAAAGGTAACCTACAGCTATGCCAAAACTATCGCACCATTAGCCAAATAAGTCATCCTACCAAGGTCATGTTGAAGGTCATATTGAATTGACTAAAACCATATGCCCACAGAATCGTTGTTGAAGAAAAAGCGGGCTATATCGATACAAAAATCGGTGATCATTTTCATCACGAAGTAGGGTGGTAATCAATGGGGTGGATGAATCTGGATTGGTGGATGGGTTTGGAGAGCCTGCTCCCTGGGACATTTTTGATTATTTCAAAATAAAGAGTTGTATTTTTGACTATACTTGAACTCGGTGTTTCTATTACACCTTTTGAACAGTGAAGAACATCTTTAAAGCTTTTTGGGAGGCATTAATTAAGTCCAGTGCCTTATATAAAGAGAATTCCCTACGATTGTGGCATTTCCCATGGTATTCATTAGGCATAAGCTTATAATCAGTTAAATGCTGTACAACGAGGCACGAGGAAAAGGGTGCATAATTAAGTGTGCTTTAGACTGCCGTACATACCCAAAGTTCAAGTGTGCATTTTTTTGGCGCAAACTTGAATTTTTTGTTTCTTTTTGAGAATTTGGAACTGGCATTTTAAACATTTGGGTGGGAAATGGCAAAATTAGCTATAATTAAGATCAACGATGTCTTAAATTTCGCACCAGCGGGCCGTAAACTATATTAACTCTAGTTATTTCAACCTTAAAGGTACGTTTGGCCCTAGATTTTTTTCACCATTTAAATCATTATAGTCCCCAGAAAATTGTTGATAAATTAAAAATACACGAACGCTTTTTTTCACATATCTGAATTGTCTTTTGCAACATTCTACACTTAATTGGAGAGCAACGGAAGAGATCCTAGTTAAAATATAGGTGTCATTTTACCTCAGAGTTATTGTGTGCGCTCAGCAAACTCTACGACTAAAGGGTGCTTCTTCTATTTTAGGGGGTTAAAGATTTGATGAGAATTTTTTCTTTATCATCATCTTTCCATGCAGGGTTGTCAAACCGGACATAGCTTGGCCAGCATGTGTTATGCAAAATAAAAAAAACAACAAAAAACAACAAACAAATAATGATAATTATTTAACGAAAAAAAAGTAACGTTGCTTTTATATTTTAATTTACAGTATTTTTAGAGATAGCTACTTAATTAATAAATGAAGTTTCAAAATAAAAATCCACTTAAAAGGGTTCAATCTCTAAAAAGCACAACACATTATTTTATTTGATGAACGCAAATGAAAAAAAAACAAACAAATTAATTATAATTATAATGCTAAGACTAACTTTTCTAAATATTTCCTAATTTTACCAGAGTCAAAAATAACAATAAAACAGGATTTAAGAAAGGTCTATACATTTTAATGTGTTTTGAAAATGGTCATCTTTTTATGAATTGCATTTGAACGACATAACTATTTTAAGAAGAATTTTTTTTTTTACAGGTAACATTATTTTTACTAATGTGTGATTTTAACTAAGGGAAATTCGTATGCAAATAAAGTTGACCTTTCCTCATATTCACTGTACTGAAAATTTTCATTGGAATTATAAAGTGCTACAACTTTTGTAAATTGCCTCTTCACCATAATTTAAATTATTTTTATCTAAATCAAAAGATGTTATTATAAATTGCCCAATTAGAAATACAAAAAATTTAATACGCACCAAAAAATTGCATTAACATGGTAATGGAAATGGTAGGTTAAAAAAAACTTCTTAGCTTTCTACTGGATTCTCATCAAAAATAAAATTAATGATATAAAAAATGAGTGCAATTCTAATTTAATTGGGCACTTTGCTATTCTGACATTTGAAAGAGAATGGCAGTTTGGAAATTAATAATAATAAATATAGGCTATTTATTAAAAAAATATAACAAATCTGTTATTCAGGATACTTTGTAACGAAGGTAGCACACTTAAAGAAAACAAAAATATTGTTGATTTAATAGAAATTTATAAAACTTGCACTATTTCTTTGCGCCCTTTAAATTCTAAATTGCAAAAAATGGCATGCTGCCCATTTTTTAAATCATAATTTTACGATGAACTATAATTTAAAAACAGATTGTACATGTTTGATTCTTGACAAACTTAAATTACAATTGTATATCCTTATAGGTATCTTAATGTGTTTTAATACAGTGTCAATAAGTCTTTAAACTTAGGCAGTTGAAAATAATAAAAAAAACTTAAAATAGCAATATATGCAAGCAACTGGAAATAAAACTCAGGCGGTGAGTGCGGCTTTTATAACCGAATACTAAAACGTGATTATCCTTAAATATACATCAAATGGATCGACGCTAGCGATATTTTATAGATTACTCTAATTGCAATTGGTTACGGCACCAGTTACAATGCAATTGTCATTTTTAATAGTTATAAATATTTTTGTTATATGTTTTTAACATTGTGCTTCGGCTGGGGAGGGGGGGGGCGCAGTGTCCTCCGGTAGAGGTAGCCAAAAGAAACATGAAAAGATTGCTCACGTTTGATACTTAGATACTGTTTTAAAAAAAAAGAACTTAAAATTGATGCAAATGTAGTATAATACATTGTGATTAAAGTCTTTAAACCTGTAAGTTTGCACACAAAAAATAAAAATTAAAATTGAAAAATAAAAAAAAATACTGAAAATGCGAATTGTAAGTAATAATTTTACTCATAATCGGCAAATTTTTAATTTAAAATCCAATAATGTATGCTTATAGGAAGATAATCCTTAAATATACGTATCATCAAATGTATCGAGGGTAGCGATATTTCATGGATTCCATTCATTGTAATCGGTTAATGACACCAGCTAAATTCTTTTGAAAATTGTTTTAAAAATTACAATTTAGTTTTGTTTATATAAAACATACTTTGTTTTATTGTTTTACATGTTTTTACTCGGGGGGGGGGGGGCACATTACTTTCTTCGGGGGGGGGGG